TGGGAATAGGAGCAGAACTGCTACATTCCTGCAGCGAAAGCATTCCCAACTGGAAGAGAGCTGTAGGTATGGCCTGGCTCCCCACAGCCAGGATACCTTTCCCTTTAGAGCTGTGACACAATCATCGTGCAGCTAAAATCCAGAGCTTTGCACATGCTGGGAAAATCGACTATGGACCTATGTCCTCAGCCCCTCAAGCCAATTATTTATTTTGATTCTGATGTAACTTACAGTTTGCAGAGTGTTTATAAACATTTTATTTGTGGATTCTCAGGACTTGGAAAAGTGGGAGGTTTCATGCCTGTTTATGGAGATGAGGAAACTGAGCTCCCACAAAGAGAGTTCCACAGAAGATCTGAGAAAAACTGACTAAATCTGAACTTGACTCCACGCTCTCGACCTCCAAACCTATTACTTCTCCATTTACAGTGTACAGGCAGTTGGGGTGGTAGTATGTTGGCAGGTGCCAAGACAAGGGTATGGAGCAGGGTAGGTGTCAGAGGTCATTTAGCAATGGCCTGTGGCTTCCAGGGCAGCAGGGCCATCCAAGCCATCTGGGCACCAGCAGAGCATGGCATGCAGTAAGTGGGATTTTTTGGTAGCAGTCACCTCTCACTTGGATGACTGGCCAAGAGGAGTCACTATATGACCTCCTCTCTTGGGGTGATTGTATGGAGTTGACTGGTCAGTGGCAGTGGTGAATCACTGGTTATTGACAGCAGATCGTAGCAGGCTTGAGGAACTTAAGTTCTTGTGTTGGGAAGAATCTGATGGATGAGGATATTTTTCAGTTCCCTGGGCCCAGACCTCACATTCTAACTTGATACGAAGCCCCGAGTTGATGTCTACACCTGTGAGTAGGCTTGGCTTTGGGAAGAGAGGTTTGTATATGGGAAAAGGTCTAGACCCCTTGGTCAGTGAGGGCATGGCATTGATCTGCTCTGACCTCACCTCGCAGAGCCAGTGAGGAGTGGAGACTAAGCAGGGTAGGGTGGGGGGATTGTCAAGGTTCCTCGGGGGGATGCCAGCCTCTGCTTATCTTTTGTTTGGTTGTTTTTTGTTTTTCAAGACAGGGTTTCTCTGTGTAGCCCTGGATGTTCTGGTATTCACTCTGTAGTTGGGGATCCGCCTGCCTCTGCCTCCTGAGTGCTGGGATTAAAGGTCTGTGCCACCACGATTGGTCCACTCTTCTGGGGCCTCCCAAGTGTTGGGACTACAGGCCATTGTACCTCCACTCCCAGCTCCAACCTCACTACTACTGTTTTTGGCTATCATCATCATCATCATCATCATCATCATCATCAGTGCTTGTGTACAAAGAAATGGGGTTCCTTGTGGCGCTTTTCCATACATACACGTCTTTGGAACAGAAACATGATTACTAGCAGTGGCCAACATTAAAGATTTACCGAGTGCCAGCCGTTGGTTTTGCGAAGTGGTATTACTCCGATCCCCACTTACAGACACAAACTGTGAGGCCTGGAACAGAAGCTTGCCAAGGTCACAGGGCAGCTCAGTTTTTTGTTTTTTGTTTTTTAGACAGGGTTTCTCTGTAGTTTTGGTGCCTGTCCTGGATCTCACTCTGTAGACCAGGCTGGCCTCAAACTCAGAGATCCGCCTGCCTCTGCCTCCCTGAGTGCTGGGATTTAAGGCATGCGCCACCACAGTCTGGCTGATGCTCAGTGTTGAACCTGGTGTATCCTCAAAGCCCACGTTCTGTTCTTTTCTCTTTTTAGATTTACTTTTAATTATATGTCTCTGTGTGGGCATAAGCATGTGAGTGCTGGTGCCTGAGGCATTGGATCATGTGGAGCGTAAGTACAGGCAGTTGTGAACTCCCTGTGGGTGCTGGGAACTGAACTTTGGGCCTCCTGCAAGGGCAATATGCCTGTTAACTGCCGAGCCATCTCTCCAGCCCTCGAAACCAATGATCCTAACCCTTCCTTATATAATTATCCTGCAGTGTGTATGGGCATGTAAATGTATGGGCAGTCCTAGTCAAAAAAAGTCTCATGGTGGGAACTGACTCTTGTCAGATGTGAAAACTATTTCAAAGAACCAATATTGATAACGATACAGTATTTGCTGAAACCAAGGTGTATGAGAGGGAAGGGAGGATTCTGAAATACACAAGCCGAAAGCAAAAGTATAGCAAAAAAGTAGGTTTTGCTAAGCAAAGAACAAGGTCAGAATTATTTAATAAGTGGTGACTGCATAAACAATAACCATTGTGATAGAGGAGGGGAACTAAATCCACACTTTACTCCCAATCACAGCAAAAATAGAATTGGACAGGGGATTATAAAATAATAAAATATGCAAAGAAATTATACAAGTTAGCAGAATGCTCACTTTGTTAGCATTCAAACAATGAAAAAGAAAAAAGAAAAGGAAAAAAAAAAACACCAGAGGACTAGAATGACAAATGAACTGTAAACTAAAACGAAAAGGAACATCAGGCTGAGCAATATTTGCATGAATAACAAAAGTGAAATATCTTTAACAGAGGGGAAAAAAAGGGCTTGTTTAAAGTTAGAAGAGATTCAACTCCTCAAGACAATGGATTCGAACAACAGGTCTTTCACAGAAGGGGAAATACAGGCAGCAAATGGGGAAAATTTGAGTCTTCAGTCATCCAAGAAATGTCAAATAAGGTCGTCTTGATAGTTCAAGATTATTAATGTAGGGGAGAAAAGATGTCACCAGTGGTTAGAGACGTGCATTGAACTCCTTATGCTGTTCCTTGCTGATGAAGAGCAAGTGGGGGCAATACAGGCCATCCATGGCTTCCCACCTGCAAACTTTCCCACTCCATGAAATTTACCCCATGTAGAACTGCCGCGAAATAAAATACAAAGAAAGTAGGAACTGCACGCCTTAAAAATGAACATGCAAATAAAACATGTTAGTGAAAGTAGAAATAAAAGAAAATGTGTTTGCAAGCATGTAAAATTAGGTATCTATGTAGAAGGTTTGGTTTGGGAAGTCAAATTGTGTAGTAATGGATATTCTTTTTACATCCCTTTTTCCTGTTATCTCGTCTTTTCAGTGGTGCTTACACTTACACAAAACAAGTCATCTGGAGTTCGTAATGTGGATATTTCCTACGGTTGCCCAAACCAGAGAAAGATGCCAAGACATTGTGTGTGGGGTGCATGTCTGTGTGGGCGCCTCCCCTTCTCTCAAAGGCAGGAGCCCTGACTGAGACCATTTAGGGCTGGAGAGTCTGGTCTCATTGGCACTCCGGGGTCCCACTAGCGCTGGGACTCCCTTTTGAGGGAACTTTCTGGAGCAGGTGTGTGTGCAGTCCCTCCGACACCTGACACCTGTGCTTGCGGAGGAAGATGAGTCGCCGAACCTAACTGCCCGCAGGCACCTCCAGATTCGAGGCTGATTCACAGCTTTTTTGAACCTCCCATCCTCCCGGAGATCTTAGGTCTCCCTGTGCTCCCTTCGCTGCAGGAAAACCGATTTACAAAGCGGCCCCTGATCAAGCCTGGACATCAGGTATGCCGAAGTGCTCCAGTCGGATTTGGTAGAGCCGGGCACTAGGGTGCCCTGCTAGGTCTCAAAGGACCTGGCGGGATTCCCGATGTGGCCGGGCCGGCGGGCGCAGCCCCCTCGGCAAGCGGCACGCGCCCATTGGGGACCTGCCGAGCCGCTGCCTCTCTGCTAATGCCATCTTGCTCGAGGTGGTCACGTGCGGGCTACAGTGGCGCGCTTCGCCCGGGATGGACGGATCAGGGACTTCGGCGGGTCCCCAGCCGCTCGGTCCAGGAGCCAAGGTGAGGTCTCTCTCCAAAATCCAAGCAGGGCCAGGACGCGCCCGCGGAGCCCGAGAGCGCGTCTCCCAACCGCGCTCAGTCCACGGCGCCGTCGGGGATCAGAGGCCCACGCCGCGCCGCCCCCGGCCTCGCAGGCGTCCTCGGCGACGTGCCGACTGGGGACGCGAGAAGAGCGGCGGGCAACGGACCTGGGCCCACGGATGCCTCCTCTTCCGAGCATCTCCGGCCCTGCGAGCCGGCGGCCGCGGGGAGGCCGGGCCGTGAGAGCCACACGCGCTAGGCGAGGGGCGCGGGTTGCCGGGAGGACCGCTGGGCTGGGGG